CTCTCGACCCGCGCGGGAAAATAAGCACGGTCCAAAATGGTCCTGGGTTCGAATCCCGGGCTGGTCGCGGCATGGTCCCGGCCAATGCCCTTGCTTTTTCGTAGATTTTGTCACGTTTTCTGTTGGTTTATGGGATTTTCAAAGGCTTTTCTGGCATTTTCCTAGGAATGCTCTAGGCTTTGTCTTTTTGGGTACCTGCTTTGGTGGTGCTGGGTTGGGTCTAAATTGGTAAACCTGGGAGGTACCCAAAAAGTCGACTTTTTGGGTACCTGCTTTGGTGGTGCAGGGTTGGGTCTAAATTCTTGGGCAATGATCGGGGATCATGCAAGAGCTGACGTCCGATGGTAAATCTGGGAGGTACCCAAAAAGTCGACTTTTTGGGTACCTGCTTTGGTGGTGCTGGGTTGGGTCTGCACTCTTAAGGCTAAGGCTAAGGCTTAAGGCTAAGGCTAACATAGAGCAAGGCTAGCGCTAAGGTTCTATCCCTTGGGGGTCGGCGGCTGCAGGCGGTAGCCTGGTAAATATAATGTGTATAAACAGGTTCCGCGCCCCAAGCCCTAGCCTGGAAAGACTTTACAAGAAAGAGAGGTTTGGCTGCAGTGTTTTGGCACAAGTCCGGCGCAGTGCTGAATTCTAGCTGCCTTTTTTTGTGTGTAGCAGCATGGATAAGAAGCTGGCTCTCTTACAAAGCGTCACAGTTCTTTCCTCGCCGGCCACAGAGGCCACTGTGCTGTTCGATGATGCGACAGGTAAGATGGAGGAAACAGCAGGGCTGCGGGACCAGCTGCGCATCTCCGAGGAGGAGCTGAAAGGCTGCGAGGGAACGCTTCGAAAAATCATGGATCGCTGCTTTGACCTGAGAGGTGCACTGCGCCAAGAAGTGTTGGCTGCCCTTTCACAGCTGCCCACTGAAGAGGGTCCTCAGAACCTGGCTTCCACAGGTGGCCAAGCATTGGAAGATGTTCCGCACCAGGACCAGCCTGGGAATCTTCCAACATGTGGGCTGTTGCACACCTGCGTGGCCCACAAGGCCAAGTGAAAGCTGCTTGTTGCTGGGTGGCTCAGTGACGTCAGCTGACCAGATGCCAGATTCAGAAGCAGCGCCTGGCGCGAAAGCCTGAGCAGCTCCAGGCTTGTGGAAAGCCTGAGGCTTGGACTTGGTGCATCGCGCGCGCGTGTCTGCGGGCACGCCGCGCCTTCGTGCTTTCGAGCACTTCGTGCCTGCAGTGGGCACTTGCCTACGGGCACTGCGCTTGCGGGCGCCTCGTCTATCTGAGTGTTTGCGGGCACATGGCTCTTCGCAGTAGGCACTGTTCGCACTAGGTTAATGGCTCGCCTGCAAGGCTTGCCGTCTGCTGTGGCAGACAAGCTGATGAAGGTAACAGTACCGCGTCGAGCTTTTGAAGAAGCCGTTGGCGACGGAATGTCCGTCAACATCCTCCAAACAGCCGTGCGCCGATGCGTGGACGCGGATGGACTCACGACCCTTGGAGAAGGAAGAGGTTGGTGGCTGCGATGCCGTGCTTTCAGCTAGCGGATGACCTCCTAAATACAGTCCCAATGAAGCCCATTCCAGCCAAAATCATAAGAGCGGAACCTGGGAGCTTGCGGCCACGCGCCCCAGTCAACCACTTTAACGTCGCAACCGTTAAACGTCGCTGACCTTACCCGAGTCTGGCCCAGTCAGAAATCCACACCCCGGTGATTGACCCTGGGTAAGCGGAGAGTGAAAGTCGCAGTAGCCTTACCCGAGGCTGGCCCAGTCCGGGTAGGGATAGCGTAGATTGGTGTAAGGGTAGTGCCCGCGTAGCGGGGGCACTCCTTAGAACGAAAGACGGTATCCTTACCCGAGGCTGGCCCAGTCTGGCCTTGCGTAAGCCGACTGTGCTTTTTGCACTGTCTTTACCCGGGGCACGTTGTCATGAACTCATCATTTTACACTCTCCTTACCCGGGTCAGCTCTAACGTCAACTCATTTGTCTCCTTTCAAAAACGAGATTCTGCTCTAAAGATTGCCAGGTCTGAAAAGGTAGAAGTGTTGACCTCGGATCGAGCAGTGGCAGTGACAGCAGACGCAAAGACCACGGAGCCCTTGTCGAACCTTGAAAGCGTCTTCTCGGCATCGGTCTTGCCCATCGAGTTTTTCCGAGACTTGCTCCGTGGGCATTCATGCAAGGGGTGGCGCTTTGTCTCATCAATAGCTTCAATGACAGTTGTTTGTCGCCCCGTATGATATTTTATGATAAATGACAGCTGCTGCTTTCGATCTTGTCAGGACTTGGCAGTGGGCCTTATCTCAAGCGCGCGCCGTACTACGGCCTTGCGCAGTCTGAGCAGCACGCCAAGAAGATCGAAATGCGGCCGAATTCTTGCTGTCAGAAATGAAAAGGGAAGGGTCCAGCCACTTCCGACCAGAAGCGCTTCAAGAAGCAGAGGCGAAAGACGAACCGCCAAAAAATCCAGGACAGAATAAACACAGAAAAGATGATTCCGAAGCAGGACCGCAGCCAAAAAAGAAGCCGAGGAAAGTCACGAAAAAAACTGAGGCGGGCCACCAGGAGGAAGAGCCTCAGAGGAAGAGGAGGCCAACTCTCCTTTGCCCTGGTAGCCTAGCTGCCTTTTTTCTGAGATACGCCGCTTGATTGCCTGATTGAAGGTGGAGCCACCGAACACGGCGGTGGGGCTTGCGCTTCAAAGTTCGAGACAAAGTAATAACAAGATAGCCCACACATGTTGCGTAGTTATCAAGGCGAGAGCATTTGGCCCAACCGGAAGCCTCACGGATGGGTGTTGGTGCGGCGAGGATAGGTCTGCTCTGTCCATGCGTCCCACTTAGTGATTTCGCCGACCGCTGCTGAAAAGATTGATGTTCGCAGTTGTTTGTTTCAATGAAGGGACGGCGCAGAGCAACGCTGCCACAAACACCATTCGAAGCAGCTTGTGAGAAAAATTGCCGCTAGTAAGGTTTCTGGTCTACCTCGTGCGAGCCCACATGCATTCGCGTGACCTCTTGATATGACATGATGTTTGATCATCCCACTGAATGCATACATAGAATACCCGATACAGATTCATCGCTTAGGCTAGAAAGTAATACCATCCAACCTGTTTTACAATAACTTTTGACATGTTTTGGCGTCATTGTCTTTAAGCTCTCCCGCCGCTAATTTGTTTCAGGTTCACATGGCATCAAGAAAACAAAGTTTGGTAAACATATTGGGAATGCAAGCAGAGAGGGGGCAACCAAGCAACAGTTAAACATCGCCAAGTCGCTCATGACGCTCACTGCGTTGCACCAGTGCTCATGCGTCAGTTTGGGGAACCACACCTCCTCTGCCACAAGCCTCACAGTTCACAACTTCAGTCTGGTCATGCAAAGCATCACCTCTAGTAGAAGGTAGCAGTAGCCGTCACACACACACACTTACACACACACTTATTGACATGCGTACGGATTCGGTTGCGGTTTGCCACACACCGGCCTAAGTAAAAACCTAAGAAGCCAGGGTGAAGTAAATCAAGCGACCATACAACCTGCAAAAGCCCCCAAAGCTCTCAAACGATCCAAGGTGAAGCGTCGATGCACTATCCCTGTCCTGCAGAGAAACTGATGCAGAAACAACGTATTGGACAGCTTTTGCCATACTTAGGTTCTCAAACCTCAAATGCAGGTACGTCAACTCGGCGTTCCGAGTTGATATCACAGACCAGCGCGAGTGTCTTTGTCAGTGCCTTGCACGGTCCCTGGCACTCCCTGCTGCGCACTGACAATCCAAATGGATAATCCACGAGGACAAGGCGATGGAACGGTAAGGCGAAGTGGCCCGTTCAGGTGGGTCTGTTGAACAAAAGTTGCGCGTGACTGCAGAACGCGGCGGCGGCTCAGCGGCACAGCTGAGGGGGGAGGTTTAGGGAAATAGCATGAGAACCACCATGGAAACAAAAAGCGCGGAGAAAGTGGAGTGGTGTCACGTGTCTTCGTTGGTGCAAGACTGAATGGGCTGCTTGCACCCCCTGCATTCTTGAGACGAAGTTCAGAGAGACCGCCCATCAGGTAACGGACTCCTCCAGAGTGCGCCACTGGGTGGAGCGTGGTTCCCAACTGACCTTTGAGAGGATCTGGTCTCAAGCGCTTCCATGCGGGGGTGTGTCCTGGAGCGGCGTTGAAGCGGAATCCTGAGGTTCTGGCGCAGGTGGAGTGGGGGGGATGGGGCCGCTGACTGGGAGGATGTTGAGCCGTAGGGCCATGGCCGGGGAAGTAGAAATTGAATGGATGGAAGAAAGGGGCAAAGTGGGATTGAAGTAGGAGTTGTTGTTGTGATGCCTGTTGTTTACTTAAGGTGACGAAGTTGTCGAAGTTCCTCAACCTCAGGAGTGGAAAGGGAGGGGGGGTGGTTGAGACTGGGAGGAGTGGTTTGCTGAAATGCTTGAGGCGGTGCGGTTGAATCACATCACCAGGGCCCCCGAATTGGGTCGTGTGGAGGCCGGGGTTGGCGTGTTGTCTGCGGGGGGAACGACTTTGGCGGGGTTCCGATGTTCGGCGAGTTCGTCCTGAGGTCCGGGAGTCGCGGCAGTCTCTGCGCAGGAATGCCGTCGTGGTGAGCGGGCGTGGCAACGCCCATGTCGACCGCGGGAGGATCGTGGAGCTGGTGAAGCTTGTCGGCGACCACGGTACCAGGAATCCCGTGGGCGACGGTCGCGGGATCTGGGCCCACGTTGGTCTTGGGAAGCGCGGTCATCACGGCGGCGGTGGGTATACGGGATGGTGGGTCCCGATTATCGAGCGTTGGTTGATTGCGCACGGGCCGAGGGTCGCCGAGGAGCTGGAGGTGCAAGTGGGGGTGGAGGGGGCGCGATGCGCGCTGGTGTGAGGGGAAAGAGGGCGGGGAGTGGGCACGCGTGTGGAGGTAGTCGATGCAGGAGGGCCACGAGGTCAAAGAGCCAGGGTATAGTGAACGTGTCGCGCTGCGGGATGCAGGAGGCGCAGTCGATGTCGTGGGTTCCGTCAATGGGGCACCCCTGTGGCAATCTCAGCGCCAGGCGCCGGAGGGGGCGCATTGGGAGCGGGGAGTGGAGGTTCCTCAGCTTCGTCTCCACCATAGTCCGGAACATCAAGCTCAGCGCGAGCACGATCACGAGATCGAGAGGACTGCGCATGCCCACGTCGTCGGCGATGACGATGTCGGGAATCATGAGAGGAAGCCGAGCTGTCCATGGCTGCAAAGAAACAAAGGGAAAACGAGAACAAGGCGCAACGTCGTGAGAACTCATGATGAGAAGGGTAGAATGTGGTAAAGGGGGAAGTGAGCAACGTACAAAGCTAAACGTAAATAAGCGAAGAAATGTCACATGTCTGGCAAAATGTGAATCAAAACATGGATGGGGACAAGTGGAAGTGTGAAGATTCATAAAAAGGCATCTTTTGCAACTCAAAATCAGATCGGAAGAAATTGGTGAAACGAAAGTTCTAGCGCGGGTTCAGGCGGGAGCGAGAACGAGAACGGTCTGAATTGTCTCTGGGTGTGGGACCAGAATGCATGTCGCCGACCGTAGTACCACCAGATGTGCGAGACGGGGGATTTGGGTGGGAGTCGAGTCGGTGGTAGGTTTGACCTTCCAGAACAATGCAGCCTCCAATGGATGTAGTCGTCGATGTAGAGGAAAAAGGAGGACGGTCCCCAAATGATGTGCGTCCGCACAATTCATCCTCCAGTTGTTCGGGGCTATGGTGTACAATATGAACGGTCAAGAGCTCATGCGTGTAGTGAAGAGCTGTGTGGGAGACACGTAGCGCATGTAATAAAGCAGCTTCCAAACCTCGTAAGTGTGCTTGAAGTTGCGGGCAGGTGACCCGGTCGATGAATGGTGGGGAAAGAATCGCCACAGGCTGACGAAGGATTTTTTGAACAAGAGCCAAAGAAGAATGTATATGAAGAAGTTCCCGATGTAGTACAGCCTGCGCCACCATAGGGATGCCCTCCGCCGGCGCCAGACCAGCAGGGAAAGGGGGCATGCCATACGAAGCCGAGGGCGGAGTCGTCGGGTGGTGCATGAGGGAGTAGGGGCTAAACTGCCCAAAACTCAATAACAAGGGTCACAGAGTCACAAGCGCAGATCAACTGAAAAAGAAGGTGGTGTATCACAACTTGGTGGGTCAAGATGGTGAGGGTGAATTGGCGGTCTTTTAAGGTCGAGGCCTATCAAAGGCGAAACCAAAATCTGGCGCGGGTTAAGGCGTGAACGAGAGCGAGAGCGGTTGAAGGTGCGGCTGAGGGCGGGGCGAGGCACTGTAGCGGTGGTAAATGTAAGACGGCGAGAAGTCACTGCGAGCGGTCCAGGTCCAGTGGTAGACGTCGTAGTAGTCGACTGCGAAGCCAACGGTGGTCGGGAAGCCATGATCACCACTGACAACGGGTCATAGCCCGGTGTAGAAGACGCTGGAGTCGTCGGGGCAGTGATGGGGAACAGGTGAGGGAATGCGGTGGTCCGGAAAGGAGGTGTGTCCTCGTAGTTCGGCTTCCAATTGGTCAGAATCAAATCGTATACAGCGTGGATCAAGTTAAAGGTGGTAAGCAACTCCAGGGTGTAGTGGAGAGCGGTGTGAATGACCTGCCGTGTCTGCAGGATGGCAGCTTCCAAGCCGCGGAGCTGTACTTGGAGATGAGGACATGTAACACATTCCAAGAAAAGAGGGCGCAAGATGGCCAAACGGGCGCAAAGAATCGAGAGGATGAGCGGGTGAGGCGGCCATGGGAGGGGGAGCATGAGCCAACTTGGAATTCCAAACGTAAGACATAAGTCGGAGTTCTCTCGGCCTAGGCCACCTACGCTCGTGAGCAGCTTTGTATCCGGGCAGGGGATACGTTCGACAAACCCCCGTTCAACGGGTCCACACGGGGCCTCACAAGGCACTCTTCGGGCTCACCCTGGGCTCTGACGAGGAGAGACACACTTATAGAAATGCATACGGATGCGCATGCGGTGCCACAGTCCTAAAGAGCCTGGGGGTCTTCAAAAGGAAGCGAGGCCAAAAACTCAAGGCAGGCGGAGCCGATCCGACTGGATGACGACGGTCGCTCACAACTGCAGAGTGAATGACGGTAACTTAAAAAGTTGATGCAGGTACGTCGGTGAGCGCCCCCACCGATATCAGTGTTCAATGCAAGCCTCTTCGTTGGGCTGGTACTTGCATGAACAACCAGCCCCCCTGCTCAAGAAGGAAAACGGAATCAAAAGTACAATCCAAACGGATCCCTGTGACTACAAGGGGCACACACACACAAAAAGCCGGAACGGCGCACCCTCTTTTTCGCGGGAAGGGGAATGGGAAGGGGGTGTGGGAGTGCGTTGACTACACCAGCCTGGATGTCAACCTACAAGCCTGAAGAAAAGAACAAGACTCAAGACAAACGAAAAAGGCAAGGAAAGAAAAGAAAAGGTGCAAGGGGTTGCGGGGGGGCCGGTGTGCGTTGACTAAACGAGCCTAAACGCCGACCTAACAAGCTTGAAAGAGAAGCCAAGCAAACGAAAAGAAGGCAAGGAACGAGAGGGTGCAGGGGTGTGCGTGGGGTGTGAGGGGGGGTTGTCAGCTCAGGCTCGAAGGCATTTGACAAAAAGCCGATATCGGCGCACCCTTGACTAAAAGGCCTTAAAAGTCTTTAGCAAGAAAAAAAGACCTAGAAAACGAAGAGCAACAGCAGGAGAAAAAGAACCAAAAGGTGAATACTTAGCGGAACCTATGAATACTGAGCTGTCCTATAGAGCCTATGAAGCATGGCACGTCATTCTTTGGAAGAAGTTTCAGTGAGAGCGAGCCTGCGGCATATGATCAGCAATCTCGAGCAGAACACTGTAGCCAAAGAAGTCCACGAGCAGGCCGAGAAACCAGTCACGGCCCACAGTGGGACTCTGTGGCAAGACACACTTAGATAAAGGCTTGCAAGAGCAGTAACAGTTGACGAAGTCCCACTTTACTGCAGGTAGAGCCTTACGCGCAATTTGACCTTGACTTGAGTCAACTGCAGGAAATGCTGGGTCGGCTCAACAGAAGGTTTAACAAAAGTGCGCTAGCCCTTTAAAGGAGGCTAAAAATTCGCAGGTACGTGGAAACGGCGTCCCATTTCCATATTGTCGGATACATCGCCAGCTTCGTTGACCAGGCGACGATGTATCCTGCCTGGTCCCCTGCGGCGTTCCTTTGGAACA